GCAGCTTTGCATTGGGGCTTGAGATGCTTTATTAAGGCTGGGAGGGGCATCCGAGAGGGAGAAGAAGAAATATCAAGGACCTGAATAAACTGCTGAAAGAAGATTCCTGCGTTGCGTCTTCCTTGCGGGCAAGGGGTCGCGACATGGAGTCCTAGAATCAGAGAGCATGGGTCGCCCTCTTCCACTCATCTGCCCTCCCATCCACTCACCTCCTGTTGCTCTACCCTTTTCTTCTCCCCCTCCACCCTTTCTCCTGTGCCCTTACAACTCCTTTTCTAGTGTTTAAAAAAGACTCCCCGATACTTTCAAATATTTTGTTCTATCTTAGTGATTTTCACATTAAAAGTACCTCCACCCTGCCTTTGCAGAATCTGACTTAGTCAGGGGTCTAGCCCTGGCGTGGTTTTTTTGTTGTTGCATGACTTAATCTCCTTTGGTGACTCCAGTGTGCCTTCAGGCCTAGAACCACTGCCTTAACTGAAACCTGAATTCTCCCCAGGCTGCTTTTGCCTCTCTTGGGAAATCACACTTTCCCGACACCTGAGTTCTACCAGAGAAAAAGGGACAATCAAGTTTGGACTCTACATTGCCTCTTCCAGATCATGGGTCTCCCATCCTCATGCAAAAAACAATATCTTTCCCTACAAGTACTTTATTCACATACCCCCATGTACCCTCTCCCATCACCACCTGCCTTAGCTGCCTGAATAACTTCTGTGTCCTTGAAGATGCAACTAAAATATTTTTTTCTACCTAAAAGACTTCTCTGGCAAGCTGAGTATCTCAGTACCACTTGCTATATCCTATGACTGTCTCTCATATTACCTGTTTGTAATAATTAATAATTTCCATGGCTGTCAACCTCAATAAACTGTAAGTTCTTTAAGAATACAAATGATAATTTCTTCATCTCAGTATCCTCACAAATATTCCTCAGGCAGTGCCCAGCACATAGTTGCAATTCATGGGACAGAAAGCAGGACATAAGAGATAGAGAAGGGAATTTGAGAAGAAAAGGAGGAAAGAAAAGAAGAAATATCTCCCTTTCACTGTCATACCAATCTTCCAAGGAAAAACAATGTTCTACTGAGCATAATTTTTGGAAATCTAATGTAAGAATACAGAGAGTAAAAAATTCAAAACAACTCTTCATTTTTTTAGGAAAAAAAATAAACAAATTACAAAAAAGTTCATATATAGAAAAAGTTTTGAAAAATATATTTCTGGTTATCCACTAAAGACAATATTATGCATCTCCAACTTCTATGCCATTGGTGACTCAGATCTTCCATGACAAGCCCATTCTATTCATGGTGACTGTAGTGGGAAAAATAATGGTTCCCCAAAGAAGTCCACATTCTGAACCCTGGAACCTGTGAAAATGTGACATTGCATAGCCAAAGGGACTATGCAGATATGATTAGGTTAAGGACACTTTGATAGGGAGGTTTCCCTGACTCATCGGGGTGCATCCAATGTAATCACAAGAGTTCTTTTGAGTAAAAGAGGGAGGCGGATGAGTTAGGGCCAGAGTGACACAGTATGAGAAAGACGCCACCAGCTGCTCTTGGCTTGAAGATGGAGGAGAAGCCAGGGAATGCAGTCTTCCTCTATGTTGAGAGCCACAGCCGAAGGGGCCCCAGCAAATTTCCAGCTGCCAGCAAACTTCCAGCTTCCGGCTGATGATTGGCTCACAGCGGCCCCAGCAACATCTAGCTGATTGGCTCCTCAGCCCCAGCAACATCTAGCTGATTGGCTCCTCTGCGGTGATGCTCATTGGACTGTTTCCCTGCCCTTTCAGACCACGGAGCTGCTCATTGGGGGACTTTTTTGGCTCCGCCCACGTGACCCAGCCAGTCGGCCTCAAGAGCAGGAGGATTGTGGGAGGTGGAGAGAAGCTGGTGGGGGAGAGAGAGGCTTGTGGAAAGCCGGTGGTGGCAGTTGAGGCTCTGAGGGTTTTTCCTGAGAGGCTGTTTTGTTTGGCGTGAGTGGTTCTAAAAATAAAGTTAGTTTCTTTTGACAAGTGGCTCCTGATTGTGCCCAGCCAGACTGCGGCACCTCTAAAAGATAGAAAAGGCAGGAAAACACATTCTTCCCTAGAGACTACGCCAAGGAACACAGCCCTGGTCACACCTCAATTTCAGCCCAATGAGACCAATCTATACTTCTGTCAGAATTGTAAGATGGCAAATTTGCGTCATTTAAAGTCAATAAACTTATAGCAACAAGAACCAAGTACCTGGCTGGCTCAAGCGGTAGCGCGCTCACCTGGCATGCACAGGGCGCTGGGTTCGATCCTCAGCACCACATAAAAATAAAATAAAGATGTTGTGTCCACCAAAAACTAAAAAATAAATATTAAAAAATTCTTTCTCTCTCTCTCTCCTTTAAAAAAAAAAAAAAAAAAAAACAAGTACCGTGGCTATAAAAATGAAAAGTATGTACATATACATCCGTGCATGTTTTTGGGTTTGAATTAAGGCCACATCTACCACAGTTATTGTGAGATAATCACTCTTGATGATGACCTTGAGTCATTACAATATCCTGAAACATCAATGAAAGGATAAGCAGTTGGAACTCCAGTACTTTATTTACTTCATCATGGGAGGAAGGATACTAAGCAATTTATGTCCCAAGTAGATATAGTGTGATAAAGCACAAGAGTCTGGAAAAATACATAAAACTTTGGGATCAAAGTCAAGGACTTTGAGCCTTGGAGACTCAGGACCTCTCATACATTCGTCACCAGTCCTTTCAATCTGATATACCTTCAGAAGATGTGAAGATACTAAATGGCACCAAATTTCATTCTAAGACCTTGAAGATAAGGGCAAAAGAAAACTGAAAGAGGATAGAAGTCCTCACAGTGTCTACTCTCAGCAGGCAATAGGTGCAAAATAATCAGATTTGCCATATTGCCTGGATTAATAGTGTAACGGGCATCTCCTTTGGGGCATTATGCTAAAACATGTTTACTCCTTTTTTTTCCAGACTGTTGGGAGGAGAAGGAAGGAAAAGAAAAACCAGTAGTGAATTCCAACCTATTTTTAAATGATTTATGAAATACTAAAAGGGAATTTGGGTTAGCCCAAATTTGGCCAGACATTTTATAGAATCAATCTTCCTCAATTTCCGAACTTTCTGATCAATCAGTATTTTAACATACAGCTTACTGTTTAGAGCTTTAAAAATTCTTTTCTTTTAGCTACTATTTCTATCTACTTCTTTCTCTCACCTCAAGATCTGAAGCAATTGGAAGAGACAAAAGAACGGGGAAGATGAAATAAAATGGCACCTTCGTTATTAACTGAAGAGCAGCCTCTAGGTGTGGTGAAAGAGGGAGGCAGGTGAGTCAGGGCCAGAGTGACACATTATGAGAAAGACGCCATCAACTGCTCTTGGCTTAAGAAGGCTTTCCTAAAAGGGCATGGAAGAATTAAGCAGAGTGACCCACTCAGCTGCTGAAGCCTAGGAAATAATGATCCACTCCCAAGGACAAGAGCTGCCCACAGTACCATCACAATGAGAATCCAGAGAAGGCTGAGAGGCACAGATGCCTTTCTCTACCTCCCCAATCAAGTAAGTCATTTGTTGCAGGAAGAAGTAAGTGAGGAGGCAAGGGGGCCAGGAGGGTTAGGAGTGGAAACTCTTGGACATGGACTCCTGAAGAAAAGGGAATATATATTCTCCACCTGATAGTTAATTCTAAATGATAGCAAATAAAGTTATGCTATAATTAAGCCAACTAAGTAATTACATCTAGAGACATCTGTAAGCAAAAATTAGCAGGAACTAACTAAAGATCCATCACCCCAGAGCAGAGTGGAATCAGCAATCTGCATCTCAGTGTGATGAGACGCTGGCTGAGATGTGTTACTATCAACATGGTGTGGATATTGACAAATAATGTCTGTGGACTTCAGAAATTAGAGTCAGCTCAAAGTTATCCCCATAACAAAATGATTTCAGATTTGAATGGGAGAAAAGGGGGAGGAATTACAGATAGCTTTCAGAAATTACACATAGACCCGTCTGCTTCATCTGTGAAGAAGTTCACAGTGAGAAATGTTAGATGTAGCATTAGTAGTCATGGCAATTGTGAATAACTGAAATGCTCGTGAGTTATTTTTATAATTCTATTTTTTTCATTTTACACAGGGATAAATTTGATTAAGCAAATTAAGTTTTGTGGTTTTTTTTAAGCATGAATATCAACATGCCACCTGGGGAAAAAAAAATGACCCTAGAAACATCTTTCAGTTAGTGACAGAACATCAAGTAAAAGCAGACCAGGCAATGAAACATGTGAAATCAAGAAGGATATTAAAGGATATCCTCACAAAAGATTAATGAATACAGTATAACATATGTTACACAGTATAACATAAACAACAGTGTAGTTTTTTTTATTACTCAGTGGTACACACTTGCTCCTGGGGAATCGGGATCTAGAAAAATCCTTAACATCAAGGTAACATTTTGTAAAATCAAATTAGCCCTCCATATTTATTTTTATAAGACAATCATTTTGAGACTTGTAATGGCTTATTTATTCATTTGCTTATAAAATGAACTAATACATGCTTTTATGAACACTGTGACCTCCACAAAAAGATCGACACTTTTCCTCTACTTTTCTTACACCAACCCCCAAATTGGTGAGGTTGGTCCAATTCTCTGAATACTATAGAGGATGCTTTCTAATTACCGAGAACCAAAGTAGCAAAAATGAGATCTCTTCTTTTTTTCCCTGAAGTTACCCTCAGTCTTCCTGCCACACTCCCTTTATCTTCTTGGGAAAGTTCTAGGTTGGATGGCCAATTTGCCCTTAACAAATCAGAGTCATTGCTACATGATTGTGATGTAGGAAAAGTAACCACCAATCAGAGAGAAGCCCCAGCAGTGTGATTGTGACATGTCACTATAAGTAGGAGAACTCCTCCAATTCTTGGGCCCTTTTCTCCATTCGTTAACTGATAAGGAAAGCAACATCTACAATGGCCAGACGCACCATCCATAAGTACAGTTACTGCAAAGGACATCTGAGTCCCATCTCCAGAAAGAAGTCAAGTTCCAGCACCAGTTTGAGCCATAGAAACTATTCACTCTACGTAAACAGGGTCCTTAAAGAAGTTGTTCCCCAGAGGGGCGTGTCATCTCGCACCTTGGATTTCATGAACACTCTGATCAATGACATCTTTGACCGCATTGCTAAGGAAGCCCACCACCTGATGCATTTCAGAAAACGCTGTACCCTCACCCCTGAAGACATTCAGAAGGCAGTGTACATGCTGTTACCTGAGAATCTAGCTAAGTACGCGGTGACTTTTGGAAGGGAAGCAGTGGACAGATTTGTCCGCTCCTGAACTACCTGTACCAACTTAACCGAATCTTGGGGAAAGTAAACTTACTACCCAACCTCTCAAAGTTGAATTCACTCTTCTTTTTTATAAATAGTGGTATTTCCTAATATTTTCCTATTTCTCTTCTCTCTAGAGATTCATTACTTTCTTGCTATTTTACCTTTAAAGTTAAAGTTAATTTGAATAGATTTTCCTGATACCTGCTTTCTGTCCAAACTCCAGTCAGAAACTGTTTTTCTTATAGATATCTGAAGCTTATCATATAAATTCAATGGTTATTATATTTTAAAGATATTGTTGCTGGGTGCAGTGGCACATGCCTATAATCCCAGTGGTTCAGGAGGCTGAGACAGGATCTCGAGTTAGAGCCAGCCATAGCAAAAAGCGAGGCACTAAGCAACTCAGTGAGAGAAACTGTCTCTAAAATAAAATACAAAATAGGGCTGGGAATGTGGCTCAGTGGTCGAGTGCCCCTGAATTCAATTCCCCGTAACCAAAAAAAAAAAGATATTAACTATGTACAGGGTTATTTGACCCAACTGTTTTGAACACCAGATCATATGACTTTGAATTTAGGAAGACAAACCTCTTAATTAGAAATATACCAGCACTGGGCTGGGGCTAATGGCTTAGCAGTAGGGTACTTGCCTGGCATGTATGGGGCACTGGGCTCAATTCTCAGCACCACATATATATAAAGGTCTATCAACAACTTAAAAATTTTTTTTAAAAAAAATATATATAGCAGCACTAATGATATTTATCAAAAAGTGTTTTTTACCTAAAACTTCATTCAACCAATTTAGTTCCTTAATGAATGCTTTATAGAACATCTTAATTATTTTCTTTTTGCTTAAATTCTTATTTCCTGAATTTTCAATCAGCTCAATTGATTTCCATGTAAATTTTATCTTAAAGACTTGGTTTAGGGGGGTTGGGGTTGTGGCTTAGAGTTAGAGTGCTCGCCTAGTATGCGTGAGGTACTGGGTTCAATCCTCAGCACCACATACATATAAAAGATATTAAAAAAGATTTGGTTTAGGGGCTGGCCCAGTAGTAGAGCACTTGCCTAGCATGTGTGAAACACTGGGTTCAATTCTCAGCACCACATATAAATAAATAAATAGAAATAAAGGTACATCAACAACTAAAAAAATATATTTAAAAAAAGACTTGGTTCGCTGAGGTTAATGGTTCTACATTCATAAGAACACTCATGAATTTATACTCAAGTGATGAAATTTAAGAACTTTACAAAGGCTCAAGAAGATCTTTACCAATCTCCTACCTACTATCTTTGTTGAACCACCACGCAAAGAAAAGACCACCGATTCCAATTTTAAATCAAATTAAAGCAAGCTTGTATTGTGTACACAAAGAAAGCTGGTCACCAGTGACTGTCTCTCCCTAATCCGGGCTAGAGATCAGCACTTCAACTCTCCAGGAACAAGGTTTTATAGAACAAAAAGTTGCAAAGAGGGAGTATTTTCAGAACTCACAGATAACAGGATTTTGACAAGCATAATACAAAGGCAGATAGTAGGTTAATGATCTACATGGCATGACATTTCAAGGTAGGGAGTAAATTCAGATTCCAACATCAGAATTTACGAGGCGCTGCTGAGGTTTCAGAGAGGGTTATCTGGTCAAGGAGAGCCTGGCATGGGTGAGTTCAGAGCATGGACAGGAATTCCAAACTTTGGAAATCTCAGTAATTTATAGTAAAACAGAAATTAACTTTTCATGACTTTGTGATGAGATGGCTCCCAATCTTAAAATGGAATTAGCCTGGGTTCATCAATCTTGCGTTTTCTTTCCTGTGCTTTTTTCTTTTCTTTGTCCTTTGATACCTATGTATGTGTCTGTAAACAATGGGTTTAATTTTGCTTATGTTAAAACATAGGATCAGGGCTGGGGCTATAGCTCAGTGGTAGAGCACTTACTTGTCTTGCATGTTTGAAGCACTGGGTTCGATCCTCAGCACCACATAAAAATAAATGAATAAAACAAAGGTATTGTATCCAACTACAACTAAAATATTTTTTAAAATAAAGGTATTGTGTCCATCTACAACCAAAAAGATATTTTTTTAAAAAAACATAGGATCATACATGTGTACTTTCACGCCTGCCTTCTTTCCTCTAAATGTACACTTCTATGATTTGTACTGATTGAAATCTGTAGCTTTAGATTGTTTCACTCCTATGCTATATAAGATTCCATAACATAACCATGTCACAATTTATTATCCATACTCTATTGATGAAGTTTGGGTTGATTTCTTTTGGGGAGGAGGTCTTTTTTTTAATTTGTTCTTTTTAGATATACATGACAATAGAGTGTATTTTGACATATCATACAAACATGGAGTATAACATTCAAATTAGGATCCCATTCTTGTGGCTGTATATGATGTGGTCATGTATACCTATATGAACACAGCAGTGGTACGTCCAAGTCATTCTACTCTTTCCTATTCCCATCCTCCATCTCTTCCCTTCATTCCCCTATGTCTTTTCCAATGAACTTCTATTCTCACCACCACCACCACCTTATTGTATGTTAGCATCTGCATATCAGGGAGAATTTGGCCTTCATTTTTTGGGGATTGGCTTATTTCACTTGGCATGATAGTCTCCAGTTCCATTTATATACTGACAAATACCATAATTTCATTCTTCTTTATGACTCAATAACATTCCACTGTGTATATGTATATCTGTATTAACATTTTCTTTATCCATTTATTTGTTGAAGGGCACCTAGTTTGGTTCCATAGCTTGGTTATTGTGAATTAAGTTGCTTTAAACATTGATATGGTTGTTTCACTATAGTATGCTGATTTTAAGTCCTCTGGGTGTATACCAAGGATTGGGATAACTGGGTCAAATGGTGGTTCCTTTCCAAGTTTTCTGAGGAATCTCCATACTGCTCTCCTTAGCAATTGCACCAATTTGCAGTCCCACAGCAATGTATGAGCGTACCTTTTCCCCACATCCTCACCAACATTTATTGTTTCTTGTGTCTTGATAATTGCCATTCTGACTGGATAGAGTAAGATGAAATCTCAGTGTGGCTTTAATTTACATTTCTCTAACTTCTAGAGATGTTGAACATTTTTCCATACATTTATTGATTATTCATATTTCTATTTTTAATTTTTTTATTATTGGTTGTTCAAAACATTACAAAGCTCTTGACATATCATATTTCATACATTTGATTCAAGTGGGTTATGAACTCCCATTTTTACCCCGTATACAGATTGCAGAATCACATCGGTTACACATCCACGTTTTTACATATTGCCATACTAGTGACTGTTGTATTCTGCTACCTTTCCTATCCTCTACTATCCCCCCTCCTCTCCCTTGATCATTCATATTTCTTTTTCTGTGAAGTACCTGTTCAGTTCTTTTGCCCACTTATTGATTGGATTTATTTGGGTTTTTTGGTTTTGGTTTGTCTTGGTTTTGGTTTTTCTTGGTGTTAAGTTTTCAGAGTTCTTTATATGCCCTGGAGATTAATGCTGTATCTGAGGTGCAGGTGGCAAAGATTTTCTCCTGTTTTGTAGGCTCTCTCTTCACATTCTTGATTGTTTCCTTTGTTGTGAAGAAAGTTTTTAGTTTGATAGCATCCAATTTATTGATTATTATTTTTACTTCTCGTGCGTAAGGGGTCTTATTGAGGAATCCGGTTCCTAAGAGAACATGATGGAGAATTTGGCTTACTTTTTCTTCTAGTAGGTACAGGGTCTCTGGTCTAATGCTTATATCCTTAATCCACCTTGAGTTGAGTTTTGTGCAGCCTGAGAGATAGGAGTTTAATTTCACTTTGCTACATATGGATTTCTAGTTTTCCCAGCACCATTTATTGAAGGAGCTATCTTTTTTCCAATGTATGTTATTGGCACCTTTGTCTAGTATGAGATAACTGAATATATGGGTTTATCTCTGTGTCTTCTATTCTGTCCCATTGGTTTTCATGTCTGCTTTTGTGCCAATTCAATGCTGTTTTTTGTTACTATAACTCTGTAGTATAGTTTAAGGTCTGGTATTGTGATGCCTCCTGCTTCACTTTTCTCACTAAGGATTGTTTTAGCTATTCTGGTCCTCTTATTTTTCCAAATGAATTTCATGACTGCTTTTTCTATTTCTATGAAGAATGTCATTGGAATTTTAATAGGAATTGCATTAAATCTGTAGAGTATTTTTGCTACTATGGCCATTTTGACAATGTTAATTCTGCCTATCCAAGTACATTGGAAATCTTTTTATCTTCTAAAGTCTTCTTTAATTTCTTTCTTTAGTGTTCTATAGTTTTTATTGTAGAGGTATTTCACCTCTTTTGTTAGATTCATTCCCAATTTTTTTGAGGCTATTGTGAATGGGATAGTTTTTCTAATTTCTCTTTCAGCTGATTCATCATTAGTGTATAGGAATACAATTGATTTATGTGTGGTAATTTTGTATCCTGCTACTTTGCTGAATTTCTTTATGAGTTCTAGAAGCTGTCTGGTGGAGTTTTTTGGGTCTTCTAAATATAGAATAATGTCAACAGCAAATAGGGATAATTTGAGCTCTTCTTTCCTATTCATATCCCTTCATTCTTTTTTTCTTTTTTTTGGTCTAATTGCTCTGGTTAGAGTTTCAAGGACAATGTTGAGTAGAAATGGTGAAAGAGGGCATCTCTGTCTTGTTCCAGTTTTCAGAGGTAATTCTTTCAATTTTTCTCCATTTAAAATGATGTTGGCCTGTGGTTTAGCATATGTAGCTTTTATAGTGTTGAGGTATATTCCTACTACCCATAGTTTTTCTAGTGTTTTGAGCATGAATGAATACTGAACTTTGTCAAATACTTTTTCTGCATCCATTGAGATAATCATGATTCTTGTCTCTAGTCTATTGATATGAATTATGCTCATTGATTTCTATATGTTAAACCAAACTTGCATCCCTAGGATGAACCCCTCTCCATCATGGTGCACTATCTTCTTATGTTTT